AGGGTACTGTAAAATTAGATGAAACCATGAATTTTAACAGCTTGTAAAGTTATTACGGCAGACAGGTTAAGAAACAGCTGCTCATTTGTGCATCAATACGACAGTAAAATAGATTTTCAGTGATGTTTGTAGCCACATAATGAATGTTGGTTACAGTAAACCTCCTTTTATTTGTGCACCCCTGAGGAAAATCCTGCTTTATAGACGTCCATCACTGCTGTTTGCACCAGATATTGGCTAATTTTGCCTCATTTTTGGAGATTAAACTGAGTATGTTGACAGAGAATTAAAATCATTTGATGCTTTCTCAGGATGAAAATGTTGCTCCTTAAGAATCCGCCGAATGGAGAACAACAGGGTTCCTGCGTTGTTTAATGCTAAGCTAGCAGCTAATGCACCAGGCGAACAGGGCTGACAGCTGTTTTTGATCGTCGCCGCTTGTCTCAGGTGTCCTCGGATCCGCCGCCGTCTCTGTCTGGTGTTTAACTCGGAGCTCCGTCCTCCTTTTCCCCAATTATCAGTTCTTTTTCTCCTGACCCGCACAACTAATGAACAAAGAGCCGCAGACACACCACACAGACTCTCCTCAATTTACCACCTCTTATCAATTGCCTCCCTTTATCTTTTAGCGTTTTCTTCTTTCCATCTTAACCCTCCCTCTATTCCCCTCTCTCTCTCTCTCTCCTCTCGTCTCTCCAAAGCTTTTATTTACAAACATCATTTCGGGGTGTTTTATGGCTCCCTTCAGGATCGGAGGATGGAAGACGAGAGGGGGGGAAAAAAAAAATGGAAAAAAATAAAAGATGAAAGGATAGATGAGGATGGAGAACAACACTCAAGGCTGCTGAGGGAGAAATAGATTTTAGACCAGCAATGAGAAATAAGTGCAAGTCATCAAGCGTGGCTCTGCTTGGCTTTTCTGTGTTTTTCTTGTCTAATAGTTTGGATGTGGTGATTTAGAACGGTGATGTGAGCTGGAGAGGGTAGCAGCATGAGCATCGAGCACAGTCATTTGATTTAATGGGGTTTGGCAGTAGCTCCAGAGCCTCTGTCAAAGCCCGATCATATGAAATCCGGATGTCTCAAAAGCCCACAAAGGGGCCGCCGAGGACTTTTGAGTTATTTTACTACAGTTGTAGCGCGTAGCGCCGGTAGATCACCTTATTGTGACTTTTTAACTGTGTTATATTACAAGTAGAGGGGGCAGGTGGGAAGCTCGGCTCTTTATTTCACACAAATGCAGCGCTAGTTATGATATATGGCCCGGCCTCGTCCGGCGGCAAAATAGAAGGGGGGAGAAAAAAAAGTTCTGAATTACACGAGGCAAGCTGTTACGGCTCAATAACGCAGGCCTGTAATCGACTCACATTTCAAACACACATGAAGTCAGACAGCCCTCGGTCGGGCCCGTTTTTACGAGGAAGCACTCGGCGCGAGGTGATCAGCATATGTTTTGTTGACATAAATTTAAAATTTATTGCCGTTGTCAAAAGTGACTGTTGGACAAAGTCGATTATTAACTGAGTAAATGGCCTGAGAGAGTTTTATGTGAACTTCCTTAATGGCTACAGTCAGTCTGTTTCAAATCACCCTCCCTGAGCTCCCACCCACCACACACACACACACACACACACACACACACACACACACACACACACACCTCTCCCATCATTTATTTCAGACGCACAACATGAAAGCAGACAGTTACGATGGGATTTGAGGAAATGCGTGCGCGGAGAGGAGTCTATCTGAGCTAAATCACTAAGCTGAGACAATATTTTAGTATCTTTTTTTTTTTTTTTTCATATCATTAAACCTTCTTAAAGCGCTCAAGCGTGCGGAACAGAATTACAGACTCGCTATTATCAGCTGTGCTTTGGCGCACAGAGCATTTCAGGGCGGATCAAGCATACCTAAGATGCCGACTGTTGTCTAATGTTGCATACTGTCCTACTGTACAGCGCCGTCCAGCAAATCAGTGCTTCGTAAAGGGTAGTTAGCAGCAAATTGCATTCTCAGACATTCATATTCATAAGGTGGCCTTTTTGTAATTTCCAAAGCATGTACATGTTTCCATCTGCAAGGTAGTCGGGCTGAAGCCGGCTCGAATGTGACCCAAACTTGGCTCGTGTTGTTGGGAATGCAGGAATCAGCTCCGTTAGCAGCACTTTGGCGTTTTGCCATCGTCGCCAGCTACAATCGGGCCATTTCGCCTCCAAACGGCTTTACATCACCGCAGCAATATTTTGAACATTAGCCGCTTCACGTTCTCATCAATTGTGTCAATTTCGCTTAACTAATTACCCCCAAAAGTGCGCGCTTCCTTCGAAAGAAAGACTCTTCACGTCCCACCGACTAAATACTGTTAAAGGCAGCATTAGTGTCTGGATGCGACGGGCTTCTGAAATGTCCTAAACCTTCCCTTTAACAGACTGAATTACTCTAACAGGTGCTGTTACCATTCTGTTGAACATCAAGTAATGTGCTGTTTCAGTGCTAGCTATCGCAGTTAAATTTAACACACTCTCAGCTATGGACACACACAGGGCACTTTGCTCATCAACACTACATTTACGGCGAAAATACGTGGCATTGGTTCCACTTTGAGTGCCCTTAATAAGTCCATCCATACCTTATCTGTGCTCTGTCTGGGGGGCACAATGGTCAGATTGAGGAGGGACACAAAAGGCCTTTGAAAGGCTTTGTGCTCTGTGTATGTTGTGGCTTACCCCCTTACCGGTGTTCTCCCCTTATCGGAGTGAAAGTGTGCGACTACATCACACACGACCCTTAAAAGAAATAAATCCTGTTCCGCTCTTTTGTCCATTTTGGTTGTTTGTCTCTTTCACGTGGAACGAAATTACATTAGGATGTTTTTATCTAGCCGCGGGGTAAATGCCGGTTTTTGGGGGAAGAATGCGTCGGAGCTCTACTACATATTGCAGCCGCGTGTAATTGCTGCTGCGTCGTCCAGCTGTGGTTGCAACCAACAGCAGCCCAGCGACGCTTTGATGCGGCGCTGTTACGCCTTTTTTCAGGTTTCTCTGCCAGCACTCTGGCGAACGCTGGAAGTGGAATTTCTTTATCAAAGTCGACAGCACGTCGACGCGCCGCACCTCCCGCGCCGAACGCATCATTCCAGGTTGATATCTGGCGGCGTCGGTATTGTTTTCTCCTCCAACTGTGTCACTCCTCTGTCTCTGTGTCACTTTCTCTCCCTTTTTGGCTTTTCAAGTGTCCTCCTTCCCTTTTGGGGCCAGTTGGCATTTATAAGACCTTTTAATTACTCACTGCTTGCCAAAGGGCTGTCACTCTGCCTTTGGTTTCCAGGGTCTCTCCACAACTTCGAAACCACTAAATGATTATCATGACTTCCTCACCCTCTCTGCGTTTCTCTCCATCTCCGATTTTTTTTTTTTTTTTTTTTCATTCGTCAGGTTTCAAGGATGTTTTGCAGCAATTAATCCAAAGTGAAGTCATACTAGACTTGATTGCTTAATAACTCCTGCAGCCATCGCCATAGGACCCGCTGTAATCTCTCTCTGTCTGTCTTGGTCTCGCGCTCGCTCCGTCTCTCCCAGCCCCTCTCGAGGCACAAAAGAGAGCTGTAAATCAATTTGCATTCGACATCTGACATCAATCAGTCATGTTTTGGGAGAGTGGCACCACCTCCTCCTCTGTGGCTTTGTTGAGAGTTGCCAAGATGGATGGCTGTCATCTCGCCCAAGTTGAGCGGATCTCTTATCAAGGGCATTGTTTCCCCAAGAATGCACTTGGCTGATCACTCTGTGCCACCTGACTCGTCGGCGGAGACTATGAAATCTGTTTGACGTTGTCTCGCCTCTTTTTTCTTCTCCCCGCCGACTATAGAATATCTCTGCACATTTGTGGTATATTTTCTCAGCTTAAGGAACCATCGGCGGCGTTTTTACCACCACCACCTGTCGAGGTTTTGATTTTCCAATCTCGCATTCGAATTAAACACACACACACAAAAAAAAATTAGTTTGCGGAGCCTCGCTGTGTGAAAGAGCAACAGTTTTTGGAAGATTAAACGTGCCAAATCTGAAACAACACTAAGTTAGCAGACAATCACCGCAATCATGGGCGCGAGTGTGTCTTTGTGTACCTCTCTCAAGGTGAGGTATTTGAAGTTCTCGGGAGGCTTAAGGCATTGTGGCAGTTGTTTGGCAATCCGTGTCACCTTAATTGCTTTAGAGCACTTTCAGATATCTTTCAAGAATAATATGCTTTGTGCTGAGCCCAGGGGTCTTTGAGGATTTCGTAACAGAGAGAGTCGTGAGGCCAGACTTTGTGTTGTCAGATGTTATTTAGTTACCTAACCTTCGGGGCCTTGGCCACATAATCAAATATTGACCCTTAGTCTTGTCTGACCTGGTGGGCTTAAAACTACGTTACAGCCTAATGACTGTCCACTTGGAAATAGACAATTCATCGCACACGTGATTTTTTTTTTTTCCATCGACTCTTACTTTCAGAGAGCCAAAACCGTCCCATTACGGGTTCGTAACGCTAAGTAGCTCCCCTGTATGTTTGCCTGAATGTAAAGCGTTCCGTTTCACTTTACAGCGCCTTATCCATCTGCAGCACTTGAGATGTAGGAAGCTGATAAAGCCTCTGCTTGAATAGCACCTTGTGATTTACAGCTCCGAGTCATGGTCTAGTGCTCCCCGCAGAAGAATATGTGTGCTGGTTGGACGGCTTGTTGCACTGATGGTAATTGTTATGTGCTGATGCTATGATTGATGGAGTGTGACTGTGACTTGAGGCCAAAACTTCTTTCTGTTTTTTTTTTTTATTGTTATTATTTCTTTGCTGTAAGTCCGCGGTTATGAGCTTTAGAGGAAGTCTCCCAATGTTAGAAACACAAGTGTCTATATATTTGAGTGACGTTAAGCTCTGCCTGGTCTGACTGACTTTTCTTACCACCAGGAATAAAGACGGTAAAATGTTTGTTTTTCTGCTCTTTTGCTCTGCAGAAAGATGCACAGTGGAATGAAGACCTACAGCTGTGAGCTGTGTGGGAAGAGCTTCCTGGACAGCCTCCGTCTACGGATGCATTTGCTGTCTCATTCAGGTAAAGAAATCAAACCAACCAACCCGAAAACCACAACTCTATATACCGTGATCCCTGTTGATCGCTGCCATTCTATACTGCAACCTGCTTCTGTCGCATTTTTACTGCTGCCAGGAAGGGAAAGAAACCTAGAGAATAGTAATAATTAGGAACCTTATTGAAACACAATGGCATGTGTGCACGCTTGCATTGCAGAACGTATCTCTTACAACGCTTCTCAAAGCTGTTCCTCTGGCTGGTTTAAAGTCATTACAGCTTAGTTGCAGTGCGTGTGAACTCATGCAATGGAGACAAACACGCCCGCATTGTCTTACAATGTCTCCCAAAAAAAACAAAAGCCGACTCGGTGCAGTTCTGTTTTTTTTTTTTTTTTTTTTTTAGAAGCGCTGAGGTGAGAGGTCAGGATCCTCCAGGGCAACCCCACCCATCAAATAAATTTTTGAAAAGCCACTAAAGCAGTGGTGGAGGACGATTATCTTCTTAAGTAAAAGTACCAGCGCACTAACGTAAAAAGGGGTCACAAGCCAAGCACTGGTTTAATCTTTAACAAGCACATTGTATTCTATTAGAGTACAAAATCGAATATTTCCCGGTGATATCTCTTCAAGTGGAAGTATAATGGAGTAAGCACTGCGTTTCTTGCCGTCCCTGCACCAAAAAGCAGCTTGGTTATTTCAGTGTTTTCTCTTTTATTCCCAATTAAATATTTAATTCACTCACATCTTTTGTCAGCCTCCTACTCTGTATCTCCCTCCCGACCTTGCTGTCCTCGGCGGCAGCTGCAGCCCTGAAGTTAGCGAGTTTTACGTCCCTGAAAGTTTAACTTTGCTCGTTTATTAACATGAATGGAAACCAAAAAAGTAGCACTGCGTGAGGCTTTCAGGGTGGTCTGTAATGACAGAAAATATGTGATTGCAAGTTAATGGGCTGAACATGCGCGGTCCCTTTTTAATAGGAGAGTGAATCTCTCTTTTCTTGCAGATTTGTTCTGTTATACTCTGAAACAAAGCCTAACTTTAGCTTTTACTCTTGCGATCCACAAATTGGCTTCAAATCTATTCACGGATGCAAAGAACGGCTGTTTACCGCCGTATTAATGCATTGTAGTGTGTAGATGGGGAAAAAAAAGAGATTTCTAGATGAAAGTCAGCACTGAAGTTTGCTTTCACCTCTCAATAAATGTGCTGGTTTTGAATTATGTAAATTGCGAAGCGTCACCGCAGTGATTTGTGGATTAAGCGACTCTTCAGCCCAGTAAAGCCGAGCTGCTCTGGGAAACTTAACCCAAGAGGTGCCTGCACATCATCATCCTGTCATCCTACACCCCTGTGACATGAGAGGTTTGAAAGGTAGTACAAGTCAGAACACTGAACACATTGAATGGTCTGGTCTGACACTATTACACCAACACACACACACACACACACAGCCCAGCAGTCCCTACTTAGTTCAGCACCGCTTTAATGGCATGGGCCGTCTTTTATAGGCAGCAAAGAGTTCCCCGCTCCTAAGGCCCTAAGTGCAGATGGTTTATTGAGTCACTGTAAAAGCCATGGAGGCTCACGAGGTAACCCCTTCTGCACACACAAAACCTCGAATCCACGTGTTGCAGTCGGCCCAAAGATTGAACTCTTTGTTTGGATCCCTGCAAGTTTTTTTCCAGTGGGACGCACTAAGTGGACCGAATTGTCTACTTGACACCATCGCCGCCAATTTGCGAGGGGATGCGACTCCCACCACGACCGCAGCCGGTAGGCAGAAATAATTGCCAGGATCGTTTTTTTTTGTTTGTTCATATTTCACCAAAAAAAAAAAAAAAAAAAACTTAAACAGTGACTGAGAGGAGCGCCACGGTGCTCCTGCTATGTTGTGACAAAGATGAATGACAAACTCAAGCTGCGCCAGTGAATTGGCTCAGCGCACGACTCAGTGTGTCAAAGGCAGAAAGAGGAAAAAAAAAAAAAAAAAGTTTCTCCGAGGAAATATTCGCAGTTTATTTTGAAATTACGCCACGTTCTCACGATCCCCGCTGCAAAACGCCGCGCCGCCCTTCCTCGCTCAGCTTGTCAGAGAAGAAAAGGACGGAGCGGCTCGTCTTAGAGGGTTTTTTTTTTATTGCGCATATGTCTCTCAGTGTGTCTCCAATTACAGTATATGCCTCCTCAGATATAATACATCCGTAAAGCGTCTGCTGTTCTGTTCCGGCGCTGGCTCTGGGGTTTCTGCGTTGTACAGTTCAGGGTCGAAAGGAAGCGTGAAGTTTTCTTTAGTTCAACAGTTGTGACAAAGTGGAGGCGGAGGTTGAGTCGAGGTAATCTGCTTACACGGATCTAAGCAATAACTCACCGCTTAGTTGGTTGTAGTTACACCAGTGGCAGACACCTTATAGGCAACGAGTTTGTTCCTTGTGTCCGGTTAAATCGCACGGCTTCGTGTTCCTGATTTCTAATTAATACAAGTTCGTCTCTTGTAATTATGGTGAGTCTCAGGCATCTGTAGCATTTAACAAACATGCAAATGAGCCACTTAGTCAGGGGAATGTTCATGCTGAAGAAAAGGGGTTATTATGAGGTTGTTGCAGGACAGCGGGCTTACTTTCTGTCACCCAATAAAACCATCTATAAGGTTCAGTCCGTTTAGTAGCTTGGTTTGCTTTTGGTTCGCACAAGTGTGACCAAAAAGTCTAATATTTTGATAAAAGCAAAGCAGCTGGACTAGCAGGTTAGCTGCACCTCACTATAAGGCATACAAACTTTGCTCAAGAATTTAAATTGACAAAACGCCTTCGGAAGAAACGACAAGGTTTTTGCAGCACAAAGGGACAAAGAGAAAAAAAAGAAGGTTTCATGTCGTGTCATCTATTTTTTTTTTCGACAGTTTTCGACAACCGTTTCTTTTTCCTCTTGTGTCAAAAGCGGCCGAACTGAATCTTAAGAAAACAACCGAGTTTCTCAAAGAAGCGTCCTGATGGAGCGAGAGGGGAAAGGTGCAGGTTCATGTGCGACGATTACGATGAGCAAATTCAGGATGCTGGTATAAACAGCTGAATACAGTCTTCCAGGAGGTTTCTGTGACCCCACTGGGATGGTTACGACTTCCCAGTAGAAAGCAGATCATTTCTGCCGATATCAACAGGTTAATAATAACTCGTAGCCTTTGTCACGAGGTGAAAACTCTGCTGATAGGAGATCAAATGGAAAAAAAAAACCAGAACGCTGAAAACTCTAGGAAGAACCGCACACCCCACCTTGAGAGAGGCAACCGAGCGGAAGATGTGGGCAGTGTATTTTTAGCAACAGTGGCAGCAAGTGCACAAACTTTTTTTCTTCTTCTTTCTCTTTTTTCCTCTTTCCATGCGGGGCTGTCTTGACGCACGACATCAACCTGTACTGTTACACACATCAGTGTTGATTCATAGCCGCTTTGGTCTGGCGTAAAAGGCAAGACAAGCGCTTCTGTCGAGACAGGCGACGGTTAGGGAAGAGACAGCGCCGAGGCAAAGCTTTCTTTGATAGTTTTTGTTGTCTTTTTTGTTTTTTTGCACTTTTTTTTTTCTCATTTTTTTTTTTCTCCCTCCCTCCCTCCACCTCCGCCTCCACCGTTTGACTTTCAAGGCTTTTTCTCAGTCTGACACCGCGTCTCGATTTTTATCATGTCTCTCTGTAATGATGACACTTCACCGAGTCCCAAAACCCTCAACCTCAGCCCCTCCTCCCCTCCTCCACCTCCTCCTTCACCTCCTCCTCCTCCTCCGCCGCCGCCGCCGCCGCCGCCATCATCCTTCAGCTCGCTTCAGAAAAGACAGAATATTGGGGAGATGAAGCGAGAGAGTAGAGAGGCTTTTTGGTATGCGCAGCGTGTCGTGGATGTGGAGCGTTTCAGACACCGCTGCTGCTGCTGCTGCCGCCGCCGCCGCCGCCACTGCCTCCTCCACCTCCTCCCTCCTCCACCTCCTCCCTCCGCTTTCCACTCTGTCTCTCACTCTCTGCCTGTCTGTCCGTCCGTCTGTCTGTCTCTCTGTGCTTGTTGAACGGAGGACTTGGCAGCGCGCCAGTCTGGGCTGCCTGCCACCGCTGAGGGTACAGTATGTACAGTCTACCTTGTGCCAGCTATTTATTTTTTTTCCTGTCGTCTTGTTCTGTCTCAGAGTCCTCTCCACTCCACGTTGTGTTTTTTTTTTTTTTTTTTTCTTCATCTCCGCCTGACGTTTAGTGTTTGACAGCCTTTGCTGAGCCAAAGCCTTGCAGATGGGGGTTCAAGCAGGGTGGGGAACTGTGACTCAGCCCATTTTCGGGTGCATTTCGAGGCCAGAGATGTTGTTTTCTTTAGATTACGGCAGCACTTTAACACGGCGGACGGACAATAACCCGAGTGTTTTGACAACTCAGAGCAATTTAATGCAAAACGAGGATCATAAAAACAAGCACATGCTCCACGTTTGAGCTCGTTTTAGCTGCTTCTGAAACATGCAGTTTAAAGTCAGGACACTGAACCTCACACTAAATATACCACAAACACACGAGTAGTCTTGTTACTCTGATAGTTTCTGATTCCACAAGTCTTTTTGTGCGGCTGCTTGGACAATAATGCAAGTGTTTTGTAAACTTTGAGTAATTAAACACCAAAAAATTATCAGAAAAAACATTCAAATACGTCACGTTTCATGTCGATTTTATCTCATTCCAGTTTGAAACATCCAGTGATAACTAAACGGACACAATCAGACTCTAGTTACTCACCGTTTGAGCTCATCTTCCTGACTTTAGTCACAGTTTGTCCACTCCATGTTATTTAGTGTAAGTTTTTGTGCAGCTGCTTGGACAATAGTGCAAGTATTTTGTCAACTTTGCGCAGTTTAATTCAAAAGAAGATTAGCCGAAAAACGTGTAAATATTTCATCTAATTCCAGTTTGGAATCCAGTTAAAACTCAGGATGCTGAACCTCAGTCGTGTTTTGTGCAAATCCAAAAGCACCGTGAACACGTTTATAATCTTGTTTC